GCAGAACCCCATGTTGAAGAGACTTTAGAGTGTTATATATGTGGAAAAGATCTTGATGGCAAGGAGAATGAAGTGAAGTGTGAAAGTTGTCCCAACTCTTACCATGTGCATGATGTATGAATATCTCTCGTGAAGATAAATTTAGTGACATTACACTTGTATGGATTTGCCTATGCGGAAATAACAATATTTCTGTACGTATGTTTGACCATCTAGGTATCCCTATTGATGTCAACCAATATGAATGCATCAGTCCGAATCAGGAGGTCATGGAAGAGCCTGACGGCACACCTGATGAATGCTCTACATCGAGAAAGATTGAAAGAGGCCGCTTTACAAAGATGAAAAGGTATGTGAACAAAGGACATAAGCGATCTAGATCCCCAAAGAAACAAATGCAAAAAAGGGGAGAAATGAAAGGTACGTTGATGACTGTAGGAATGCGTCTACATGTGACCAGTCAGAAAATGTAAAAAATACAGTTGGCAAGGAAAAGGAATCTGGTTTAAGATGGGACTTGATAAGATCGCGAAAGGCAAAACTCTTGGAGAAAAGAAAAGGAATGATTTCTGTAGATAACAAATACAGACATAAGGATGAGTGTTCACATGTGAACAAAAGAGAAAGGGAGTGACATACATAGGAAAAGCAATGAAGCATCTGTACCGCAAATCAAACTCAAAAATCAAAGTTCCAAGTACTGAAAACCAATCAAAAATGACACAAGACAACGAAAAATCAAAAACAAGTGTATCAAGCACAAAAAAACAAATAGAGGTGCCGGAGATCAGTGAAAATGATTTGAAGGTAACACGTACAGGAACGGTTTCTCATGAAGAGACAAAAGTGTGTGAAGATGGTAATGACGAACATTGTTTGAAGTCGAATGAGATGGCTATGTTGTACAGTAAACAGAAATCTCCTAGTGAATGGTCTTCTTCAGATCTTGATGCTCTTGTAACATGTTCAATTGATATGTTTTCTACTAGCCCTGATGACGTATCTGCGAGTATTTGTAAGAAAGGTGATGGCACATCTCTTGGCGAACCAAGACAGGACCTCTTACCAAGTACGCACATCCAGACTCACTGATCAACACCCTTGAAGAATCACTCAAGAATTGTGATGGTTGTCTTATGAACTTTGGTAAGCAGACTTTTCTCATAATGTCACATGAAACAGGTTACTACATCTTTGATGCACATTCCAGAAGTAGAAAAGGGTGTCAAAGTAAGCAAGGAAAAAGCATTCTCATGCATACTAAAACTTGGCTCGGAATATACACTTATTGCATACAATTGTTGAACTCTATGAAGCTCTCGTGTGAGGAGACATACAAGCTGACACAGGTGACAGTTGCACACAGATCAAGTACTGATGCATTGAAACACACAATCCCAACAGATACAATTTCACAGGATAAGGTAGATGAAAGTCTGATGGTAATCCAAACTGAAGATCGTTCCGTATCTAAACCTGAATCAAGCCAAGATAAAGTACATGTAACACTCAATTGGAAAGTGCAAGCAAAACCTACCAAACCCCTGATGAAATAGATGTTGATCTCAAATCATACAGGAAAGTGCAAGCAAAACCTACCAAACCCACTGATGAAATAGCTGTTGATCTCAAATCCTACAGGAAAGTGCAAGCAGAACCTACCAAATCCACTGATGAAATAGATGTTGATCTCAAATCATACAGGAAAGTGCAAGCAAAACCTACCAAACCCACTGATGAAATAGATGTTGATCTCAAATCCTACAGAGTTCATGCTGGTGGCAAAAACCAAAAAAAAGGGTAAAGCAAGGAACAAAAAGGTCAGTTCACCAAAGCAAAAAAAGTTCATGATGGAAATAACTCTTCTGATAAATCAGAGATTAGATTTGACAAAGATGAAGGAATAGAATTAGCAGTAAATAATGAGAAGCTGGATACAAAGAAATTTATGAATGCAGGTGAAAATGATGAAAACTCAGACCAGCATATTTACAATATCAAAGACGATAAAGGTTCAGATGGAGTTGTGCAGGCTGATTCAAAGAATAATCTGTTGAAACTGAATTTTGATGAAAATAGGAAAATTGAAATAGATAATGATAGTGGCAGTGATATTCATATACCAGTGAAACGTTCGTGTGCAAGAACTTGTATAGAATCTGATACAGACACAAGTCCTGGATATGATATATTCGATAAAAGCGTTTCACCAGAACGCAATATGTCTTTGAATGTTTCTGATCAACCAAAAGATATGCCCAGAAATGAACAAGTAGACAATGTCTGTGAATCAGTATTGAAAAATGATGATATGATGACAATTGATTTGACAGATGTTTCAGATGGTCTAGAGGAAGATGCAATGTTTGATAATGAATTAAAGAATAAAAGCTTTGATACAGGTAAACATGATACAGACAATGATACTGATATGTCACTAAATGATCATGCTCATTCAAGAAATCCTTTAGAATCTTCTTTAGATTCAAACATCAAAGATGAAGACATTGAAAAGGCAATAGATGCTAATATGTACACATGTACTGATGAAACAGAAACAGAAGTTGAATTTGTAGCAAATCTTGGATTAGGTGATAGACCGGATAAATATTTCAAATTCTTACCCCTCTCGAAGAATGACAAACAGAACATTTGTACAAAATTGAATATCAGATATATAGGTACAAGCTGTGATTCAAGGTTAGATAGAGATAGCTTTATCGGAATTCCTTTACATAGTAAACAAATTATTGGTGACGGCAATTGTTTCTTTCGTGCAATTTCATATGCAATTTCTGGAACTGAGCATAATCATGCAATTCTAAGAAATGCCACGGTAAAACATTTATTGCAAACTAAGGACATGTTTAATAATACATTGAGGCAAGAGTATAGAACAGTCAGAGAATATGTTTCGAAACGTAGAATAATGGAAGACGGAACGTGGGCTACAGATACTGAAATTAGTGCTTTAGCAAATTTAATCGATACCGATATTTATTCATACAATGACCAAGTACCATGTTGGCAATTGTTCTCTGCAAAAGAACCTGGAAGAATAAATATTGTAACCTCTGATAAGGGAATTTATATACTATACACAGGAAATATTCATTTTAATGCTGTTGAATCTGTTGAAATTGATGAAGTGGTGGATAAGTCTCCGATAAATCACGATGAGAGGAAAGGTACTGCAAATCTTTTTGACATGACATATGAACAGTGTGCAAGTAATCAGTCTGAATCAGTCGTTCACAACAAACGTAACACCAAGGATGAAACCCCTGAAAGTAATCACAAAGACAAATGCGCAAGAGTCAATACACACATAACGCTTGTTGCCCAAGGGACATTCAATCAAGGTCATACAAGATTTGGTTACTCAAGTGGAAAGCAGTGTGTTCCCAATTCACTATCTGCACTGTTGTATAGCAAAGTAAAAAAATGCCAATGATTGGAAAAGTACAGATCTAGACAGGATTTTGAACAACGGTGATGAATTATATCGTTACATACGACGATCCACTTCACTCGAAAACGAATACTTATTGATATCTGATCTATTTGAATATTTGGATGCGTACAATGAATTGTTTAACATAAAATGTCGTGAACCAGTCACTGGATTGTTAGATGGAGATGAAATGATATTGGCCCAGTCTCTTTCGATGACATTGAAGCAAGCAATCGAACAAGAACTCTGTACTGATTCTGATGCATGTTTTGTGACATTTGCTGGAAGTACTTTGATTGTATTATCTGGTCAAGATGGTTTCTTTGTATTTGATTCACATTCCAGAAGCAGTCGAGGTTTTCAGATTGATAACGGACACAGTGTTGTACTTAGTACTCCAAGTTGGCAAGGTGTGTACAAGCATTGCATGAGGTTAGCAAAAACAAGGGGATGTCCCATGCACACTGAATATGAGGTAACTAGTGTATGTGCAAAAGCAACTTCCGGTAAGAATGAAACCTTGAAAGGCTATCCACAGTTACAGGATGTTTTTTGTAGTCAGATTCCATCGTCAAATAGTCACAGTGAAAGTCAGTTTGAAAGCTCTGGATGTTCCATACATTGTGAAAGCTTTGATGAAGTTCAATTGGAACTTGAATTGGATGAGAGTGTTTTCCCACAAAAAATGATTGATAGCCCAAATCTATTTCTCTTTCCTGAAAAAGCAAATGAAACAATCATTCATGATTTACATTATAACGGTCAGCAATTAAAACTGAAGAGTGTGACAATTGGCTTAACCAAATTAAAAGAATCACAGCTAAATAATAGTTGTCTTTTGAAAGGAAATGACTCTATAAAAACAGAATATGAAAATAAACAAAAGGGAGACTCCAACAACTGTACTAAATGTGGAAATGACTCTGATAAATTGAATTTAGTGAACGAAGTTCAGAATTCCAACTTTATCTTAAGCAGGAAACGAAAATGGAGTAACTTCGAAAGCGATGCGAAAGTTAATGTTGACCTTGGCAAGGACATTCGAAAAACCAAATTGGTGAAAATGAATGAGAACGACAGCTTAAGAATTGACGCAAGCGATTGTGCTGATAGTAAAGACGACTTAATAATAATTGGAGAAGTTCATGTTAGAAATGTAGACCATGGAAAAAAAAAGAGTAAAACCAGACAAAGTTCTAATCAAAAAAGGAAGCGCAATAGACAGCATATGAGAGAAAAACGAGCCTTGACCAAAGATGAAATCATTAAGAAAAAGGAAAAATGTCTCCACAATGCGCAAATGAGGAAAATTAAATCAAAGAATAAATTTCAAAATGATTTAACCTACAAAATGGAAAAAATAAATGAAGTAAAACAAAGACAAAAAGAGAATTACAACGCTGATTTATCACACAAAATAAAGCAAGGAGCTTATGTCAAACAAAGGCAAAAAGAAATGTATAAAGAGGATTCAAATTTCAGGAACAAACAGCTAAATATTATGAGAACCAAATATCATTCTGATTTACATTATAAAAAGAAAATTGTGTATAGAAATAAACAGAAATATTTGATAAATGAAGAATTCAAAGAAAATGTTAAAACAGCTATGAGGACAAAAATGAAAAATAAATATTCGAACGATGAACATTTCAAGGAAAAACAACGAGATACCATGAAAAAACGAATGAAGCAATCATATCGCAATGATCAACAATTCAAACGAATTCACAAAAGCAAAATAAGAAGTAAATACCAGCACGATGAACAATTCAAACGAATTCACAAAAGCAAAATAAGAAGTAAATACCAGCACGATGAACAATTCAAACGAATTCACAAAAGCAAAATAAGAAGTAAATACCAGCACGATGAACAATTCAAACGAATTCACAGAAGCAAAATAAGAAGTAAATACCAGCACGATGAACAATTCAAACGAATTCACAAAAGCAAAATAAGAAGTAAATACCAGCACGATGAACAATTCAAACGAATTCACAGAAGCAAAATAAGAAGTAAATATTCGAACGATCAACAATTCAAGGAAAAACAACGAGATACCATGAAAAAACGAATGAAGGAATTATATCAGAACGATGAACAATTCAAAGGAATGCACAAGAATAGAATTAGAAGTAAATATCGGAACAATGAAAATTTTAAGCAGATAAAAAAGGCAAATATGAAAATATTGTCCATAATTAGATATAAAGGCAAAGAATTTAAGGAAAAGAAATTGATGAGCTTAAAATGAAATATAAAAGAATTGAAAAATATAGGCAAAATGTAATAAAACAAAACCGAAAAAGGTCTGTACTTCGAACAGTAAAATTGTCCGAGTTTGATATTGTACATGAAGAATTTAGAAAGATAATTTCTCATGGCCCAGAATATGTGTGCTGTGTATGTTTAAAACTTCTCTTTGAGAACCAAGTAATGAAATGTAAAAAGAGTAATTATAAAATTCAGACATGCATAAGTGAAGAATATTTGCATGTTTGCAATTCAGAATGCCGGTCAAAATGTTTAATAGGCCAGTCAGCCAGATCGTCACTATGGATATGCTTCACCTGTCATAGAAAATTGCAAGCTGGGAAAGTACCTGCAGAAGCAAATATGAACAATTTACAACTACATGAAGTTCCAGAAGAACTTGCCAATCTGAACAATTTAGAACAGCATTTGATTGCATTGAATATCCCTTTCATGAAGTTGATGGCCTTGCCTAAAGGTGGTCAAAATGGAGTCCATGGCCCAGTCGTGTGCGTGCCTTCAAACACCTATGAAACAGTACATATGTTGCCAAGACCACAGACTGAAGATCAATTGATCCGTGTTAAACTCAAAAGAAAATTGTCGTACAAAAGCTATTATGAGTACAAATTTGTAGATAAATCTAACTTGCTTAAGGCTCTGCAGTATTTAAAAGCAAGTAACAAGTGGTATTTTGATGTTACAGTAAATGATAAATGGGAAAACTCACTTGAACGAAATGAAAAAAATAATGAAAAGGAAGAAGCAGTGGAAATAGGTGGTAAAGCTCGTTTAGCAAAATATTGGAAGGAAATGGAAGAACAAATTGATTATATTTTGTCCAAAGACAAAAATGCTAATGAAAACATGCAAGACAACAGTAAAGTACAAACAAAAATAGATGACAATGACACTGAAGACGATATGGAAGAACGATTACGCGGTATTCAGTTAGACTCGTGTCTCCAGCCAGTAGATATTGGACAGGAAATATTAGATCAGTATTTTGAAGACATAATATGTTGTGCTCCTTGTGAAGGAAGAAGCCCTGTATCAATTCTACAAGATGAAAGCAATGAGGCCAAATGTTTCCCAGTATTATTTCCTAAAGGTCAACCAACATTCCATGATAGAAGAGATGAAAAAATAACATTAGGACGTTATCTGCATAACCGACTGATGCACGTGGACAATAGATTTGCTCAGAATACGGATTACATCTTTTATGCACAATATATTTATGAAATTCAACAGGTTATATCGCAAGTTTCTATCGCATTAAGGCAAAGTCCAAACAAAAAAGATGATTCGTCTTCAATAACTGCCTCAGATTTGAAAGATGCAGAGAAAGTTAAAAAAATACTAAAATCAGACAAGGGCTATAAATTTTTAAAGCAAATTCGTGGAACACCTCCGTTCTGGCAAAAGACACAAAAAGATGTACTTGCAATGGTACGACAGCTTGGAAAGCCGACATGGTTTGCTTCTTTCTCATCTGCCGATATGAGATGGCCAGAATTAATGAATACATTGCTTAGACAAAAAGGAGACACCAGGGAATCGAGTGAATTAGACTATAAAGAAAAATGTAATCTTTTAAGATCGAATCCAGTAACAGTTGCCAGAATGTTTGATAAAAGATTTCACACTTTTATGAAGACAGTAATTTTATCTCCAGCTGCACCGATCGGTAAAATAGTTGATTCATTTTGGAGAGTAGAGTATCAAGCTCGAGGTTCCCCTCACATTCATGCCTTGTTCTGGGTTCAAAATGCTCCACAGTTGGGTATCGATAAAGATGATGATGTCGTACAATTCGTAGATAAATACATTTCTTGCCAGAAGCCGGATGAAAAGGAAGATCGAGAACTACATGAAATAGTAAGCAAGGTCCAACAACACAGTAAGAAACATTCTAAATCTTGCACAAAAAACAGGAAAAGCATGTAGATTTAATTTCCCAAGACCACCATCTGAAAAAACATTCATTGTAACACCTGTTGAAGAGATTCCAGCTAAAGATTGTGGGAAAGTGCAAAATAAGGGAAAAGACAATGATCAAATTAAAGCTTCTAAAAAGATTAAAGATGATGCAGAGAAATTGTTGAAGTCAGTTAAAGATGCATTATCCAATGGAATGGAGTACAACAATGTAAACCATCTCTTTGAAGAGCTTGACATTACACAAAATCAATTTGAAAATGCACATAATGAATTAGCATCACAACAAAGTATAATCATCAAGAGACAGATACAAGATGTATGGGTAAATCAGTTTAATCCAAGTCTCCTTAGAAGCTGGAACGCCAACATGGATTTGCAGTATGTAACAAATGTATTTGCATGTGTAGCTTATATTGTATCCTACATGTCAAAAGCTGAACGAGAAATCGGAATGCTATTGAGTCATACACTATCTGAAATGAAGGATGGAAATGAAAACGCAAAGGAAAGCATGAAAAAACTTGGCCAGGTGTACATGCAAAATCGTGAAGTATCTGCTCAAGAAAGCGTCTATCGTGTTTGCAGTCTCAGATTGAAAGAATGTTCTAGGAAAGTGGAATTCATTCCTGTTGGACCCAACCCTGTCAGAATGAGTTTACCATTAAGCGTTATAAAAAGCAGACCAGATAACGATAATGATGATGATGAGAATGTTTGGATGACTAGCAAGCTCGACAGATACAAAGCTCGACCTAGAAATGCAGAATTCAGTAATATGTGTCTTGCAACGTTTTTTTCTCAGTTTAGAATCTTAACTGCATCCCAAAAGCCAAGTGCAAGAAGTAAAAATGTCTTTAAATTAGATAATGATCTGGGATATATTCAGAAGCGCACACGTACAGCAGATGCAGTTGTAAGATATCCCCGATTTTCACCCATCATCTGTCCTGAAAAATATTATTTGAGCATTTTGCAACTCTTTCTGCCATATTTTGAAGATGAACAATTAAAGCCGCCAACCTTTGAAACACATCAAGAGTTCTATGAGACAGGTTCTGTGAAAATACGTGGATGTGAATTAGAGGAAGTCTGGTCAATTGTGTGTACTAACCGAAACAAGTTTGAAATGAATGCTGATGCAATTGATCATGCACAGGAGCATCTTAACAAATTTGGTCCACACGAAGATGCATGGGGTCTTTTATGTCCGGAAAAGGAAGTAGAACGACTTGAACATCCCAAAGAAAATGTAGATGTCGAAGATTGTGATGGAGATCTTGATATCCCGGATTTAAAGCATGAAAAGAAAAAAGATGACTATAGCATCGAATTTCGATCTGTAAAGATTTCCAAACAGGATGGACATTCTTTGATGAGGTCTTTGAATGAGAAGCAACAGACTGTTTTTTACAAAATACGACAGTGGTGTTTAGATAGAGTAAATGGAAAATCGGTCGAACCGTTTCATATTTTTCTAACTGGTGGTGCTGGCACTGGAAAGAGTCATTTGATTAAATGTCTCAACTATGAAGCAACACGTATACTAGCCCGAATGTTGCCACATCCCGATGATGTCTCAGTATTGAAAATGGCTCCAACTGGAGTAGCTGCATACAATATCAATGGCCATACTATACATAGTATTCTTTCTATTCCAATCAATGCACAAAAACTGTATCAACCGCTGAGTGATGAGAAAATAAATGTCCTTCGAAATAAGCTGGCTCAAGTACAAATTTTGATCATAGATGAAGTATCAATGGTAGATCAAAAGTTGATGTCTTACATTCACGGTCGCCTACGACAAATAAAACAATCACGCGATCAAACAGCTTTTGCTGGTGTTTCAGTTATTGCTGTGGGAGACATGTATCAGTTACCTCCAGTCTTTGGAATTCCTTTATATAAAGACACACTCAATGGTGTATTATGGAATGATAATTTCAAGAAAGTAGAACTTGAAGACATTATGAGACAAAAAGACGATACCCAATTCGCTTTTCTCTTAAATAGATTACGTGTAAAAGAAGGGGATGAGATTCTCTGTGATGAAGACCTAGCAATGCTCAAGTCTTGTGAAACTGGTGAAGAATGTGAAAATGCTCTGCATATCTATTCATGTAACAATCAAGTAGATGCTTGGAACAAGAAATTATTGCATAAAAGATGTGCCGATGTGATATGCGTAAAAGCACAAGACATGGATAAAGATGGTAAAAAAGGAAACAAAATACGAGAAAAACCTTATACAGGTATGCAAACCCAGCTGCCTCCTTATCTGTGGATTGCAGTTAATGCTAGAGTGATGTTGCTCAAGAACATTGATGTTAGTAAAGGCCTGACAAATGGATGTTTTGGAAATGTAACAGAAATATTAACGGATCATACAAATTTAAATCCAGTATGCATCAAAGTTAATTTTGAGATGGCCGATGTTGGTATTCATTCAATCGAAATGTCCCAAGAATCCATTGGTAAGAAATATGTGAGAAAACAATTTCCACTTAAGCTTGCTTATGCTTGCACAATACATAAAGTACAAGGTTCGACATTAGAAAAAGCTGTTGTATCATTAAAAAATGTGTTTGAATCTGGACAGGCATATGTTGGGCTCAGTCGTGTTACTTCGTTATCTGGACTTGTGATAGAACATTTCGATCCTAAACGTATATATTGTAATCCAGAAATTAAAGAACGCATTGAGATTATGAAGCCGTTTATCGAGAAAAGCACTTCTGAGGATATTCATGATTATAACTTTTCTTTGATAATGCAAAATGTACAAGGATTAAAACAGCATTTTATCGATTTCAAATCCCAGTGCCAATTTGTGAATGTAGATTGTATTTGCTTGACCGAAACATGGATTAATGATGATGATCTCTGTGACGTTGTTTTAGATAACTTTCGATTTTATCATCAGCCACGACATCTTTCATACTGTAATTCTGGAGTTGGAAATGTACTCAAAGAACAATCGCATGGAGGTGTTGCAATGTATATCAAGAATACATATTCAAGTAGATTAGACATATCTGTCGACAACTTAGAGTTTATTGCAATTCTTGTCACCAAACCAGTTTCTGTTGTGATTTCAGTTGTTTATCGACCTCCATCATATAGTATCAAATCATTCTGTGAATCATTAGACAATTTGCTAGATGCATTACACAAAATAAGCATTAGATGTATTGTGATGGGAGATTTTAACGAGGATTTGCTTAAAGGTTCTTCACAGGTAAGCAAGCTAATGTGTAATAAAGGTTACAAACAGCATGTTCTTAATGCTACTACTGAGAAGGGAACATTGATAGATCATGTGTACAGCAAGGGACTAGATTTATTGGAAACAGAGGTCATCCCTACATATTATAGTTACCATGAAGCTGTTAAGATTGCATTTTAATATTTGTAGTAAAACGAGAGGAATAAAAGAGTAATTCATAATATTTTTGTTGATAAATAACATTTTCATTTACCATGTCTTCATTCTTGCAAAAATGAAAATGAATATTACCTCTTCTTAAAATTCATGAGAGTTGTGCATATTTTTTTAGGCTTACCTTACACTAATATCAATGATACCATCTGCCATGGACATCACCTTGAAAGCATGTTGTAAACTTGGTAAAATCTGTTTTAAGGTGGTGTGTGTTGAAAGATTTATGTGTTGTCACTCCTTGCCTTTCAAACCTTAGTGTTTTTAAACATCACTCACATCATGAAATGTATATGTATTTTTAACTTTTAGATGCAATTTTACAAATCTAAAACAATGGTACACATTTATAATAGATGGATAACAAGATCATACATCCATGCTTTTCTTTTTCAGTTTAATGATTGTCGACCTGATCAGTATATCAAAGTTGGATCATTCCATGAACCTTGCTAAGTGCTCATGTTTCAACTGGGTTGGAGTAGGAGACAGCATACATGGCAGCCATCTCTCTGAAGAAGACACTCAAATCAGAGATCAAGCTTGAATGTGACAATGAGACATGCAAGTATTAAAGTAAAGAAGAGGATGGTTTATGATAATGAATGAATATTATCATCGGGATGTAATGCTGGAATGTTATTCTCTGAAAGATGATTTGTTTGGTAGTGATCTATGTTTTAGTAATAGGTTATTCACTATGATGTAAGTTGTTCTGATTTAATGAAAATTGGAGGGTTATAATGTCTCATTGATAACAATGAGTATGATAGTGATGATTAGGATTAAATGAATGTTATACTATCAATGATGTTCACATGATACTTAACCCTTTCTGTACTGACTTGGGGGGGGGGGGGAGGCGTTGATATTTGAAAATGCAAAGGTAAATTTGCATAACTTATCAATACGCAAATTTCATTTTTTTTTTTTTTTTAATATGTATTATATTGTTTTTATTTTTTATATCTCGAGGGCTTAAGGCCAGAACTGTCTATGTCCATTTTGGGTGAAATTGAGTTAAGTCCACCAAATTACTGTATATTCATGTAGGTTTGTGTGCCAGAACTGTCTATGTCCCATGTGTGTCCATTAGCCATTTTACTTTTCATGCCAGAAATGTCCAGACTGTTACAAGTACTGTCACGCATTCATTGCAGTATTAAGAATTGCACAATACTTGCAGTTTTCTACTATTAAAGCAGATGGGATACCCCATGCAGCTTTCACTGATTGTGGCCAAGCAACATCATTTCATTGCCCAGAAAAGCTGTTATGATAAATAAAAAAGACCAATGTGCAAAATGTACGAAGTGTGACCAGTTGTCAGGAGAGCAGAAGGAGAATTTCAAGGAAGAGTATGAAGCCCATCTCATGCGAAAAAACAGAGGCTCAAGATGCCAAAGCAAGGGACAAGGCCAAGGCAGTTGCTGAAAAGGGGACTTTTGTCTTGGCTTCTTCTGATTGGCAAAGTGTGCTACAGATCCCAAGCAGTGAACATTCTTGAATATATTACAGCCGCAAGCTTTGTGTCTACCATCTATGTATATACAATCAGGCCCCACCAAATGAAGCAAGCAGCTATACTGTTGGTCCAAAGCAGAAGGGAAGTATGGCAGTAATGATATGGGCACATGCCACTTCAAATGGTTGAATGATTTATCTGAAATGGTAGATGAAGTATCACTATTTTCTAACACATTAGGGGACAAAATCGAAACCAAAATATGGCTGCAATGTTCCTCTATGCCGTCCAGAACACACATCTCAAAGTCATCACGCACAATTTTCTGGAGAGCGGGCATTCCCACATGGAATGCGATGGCATGCATTCTGCAATTGAAAAAGAACGTCAATGTCTTTACAATGCACCACTGGGTAATATCTTCCACAAAGCAAGACGTTGGCCTCCATACAAGGTCATAAACATGTGTCATGGAGACTTTCATGATCTGCAGAATCTCTCAAAGCAGACCATGAAGAACAAACGGCGAGACGAAGATGGACATGTCTTCAACTGGCTACATGTAGAGAGCTTCTAATACAGGAAGGAAGAGCCAGGCATCATCTGCTACAAGTATAAGTACTCAGTTGACTACAAGAAGATATGCGTGTATGGGCGTGGGACACCATCAGTTCCACGTAATCTGGACCTTGCCTACCAAGAGAAGCTTCAAATCAGAACCTTAAAAAGAAGGATCTCATCGAGCTGTGCAATGGCCTAGCCATTCCTGAAGAGTTCCGTGGATGGTATTTGGCACTCCCATCTTCAAGACGAGTTGATGACAATGATGTTGCATAATTATTGATTACATTCAAGGAAAGACATAAAAAATGACAAGATCGTCATTTAAATAACAATTAACATGCTCTGGAAGTACTTTGTTATTAATCCACCACGTTATGCTCCTAAAATTCTGTCAAATCTTCAATTTATGTTTAAATAATTATCTTGTAAATAAAGGACATATAGTGTGGGGTATAAAGGAACATTTAAGCCATGAAAAGGATCATGACTCACATGCCATGACCTCCATGTATAATGTGTGACCAAGTATTATTTATAAGTTGATCACATTGAACATAACTACTTCACCTTTTTCAGATTTTATGCATGCAATCAAACTTTCAAATGTATTTGACTCAAATTTGCTTTTTTGGACATAGACAGTTCTGGTTTTAAGCCCTCGATCAAATGTTTTATTTCTAATGTATTCTTTTGTTCTGGAATATATCGAGTTGCTTTTGGAAACATATCAAAGCAATTTGATATCAATTCATATCTCTCACTTATACATCTATTTCAGTATTCACATTTCTGCCTGTACATGTACATAAATTATATGAATATATGCAATTATAGCACTTTTTGATGATATGAGCATACTAATTGATATGTAACACCTTACAGGTATATCCGATTTCGATGAAAATGATATCCAAACATGTGACTTGTGTGTAAGATAGTGACTTGAGGGGAAAAGTCATGAAACAACAATTTAAAATTCTGCTGATCAGAACAAGTTTGTGCTGAAATGGATGGGTCCATTCCCTGAGGTTGGTGTGAAGTATAACTATGACTACATTGTAGATGTTAATTGTGTTCCTAAGACATATCACATTAATCTTAAGAAATACTTTCTGAGGGAGGAGGTTAACTGGTCAGTGGCTGGCTGCTTTGATTTGTGTACAGAGAGTAGGAAAGTGTGTGGGGATTCTGCAGAAGATGTCGAGAATCAGTTGCTTGTATTGAAGGTAGATGCATCTGACAGGGGTGTGGGTGCTGGGCTTATGCAATAGCATTCAGAAATGGAATGTCCAATTGCTTATGCTAGTAAGAAGTTATTACCATGGGAAGATAATTATACAACAATAGCAGAATGCAAAATACACTACACATGGATTTTTTTTTTGTCTGTCTACCATTGTCAATTATTGGATTTGTATCATGGATTTGATATGGAGAAGAAGATATTACAGCAGTATATATATATGCATTGTAGTTTATGCAAATGCAAGAACATTACTCACTACAATTTTGAACCTTGCCAATGTTTATTCTGAACCATGTCTACGTATGATACTCGTTCTGAACTTTAATGTGGAGCTATGCCATTGTGGACATTGAAACAGATTTAAATGTGAGTTTTGCCATAATTAGATTTGGACTTCTGTCGACGGTCATCTTTAAAGTGTTCAGTGATCTCAAATGTTGGAATAAAAAAACAAACCATGATATTGTCGACTGAGATGATGAACTTTCCATGAAAAACAATACTCCTTGTTACCACAGAGACTATGTTTTCAACTTTTCAGCATACATGTTTACTTTCAACTTGGACTGATAAATTGGATCACAGAAAGAGACTGATAATTACACAGCCACCTTATGAATCTAAATATATCAGAGAGGACTTATTGATGCTTAACACAATGGATTGTGCTCTTTAATGCTCGATAATTGTTTAATTTTGAGTCAAAGAAATTGTCTTCAGGTGATGATGTGAACATTTGATAATCTCTACTTTGTTTTAACAGGTTTTTCACAAATTCTAATATGAACTGTAGCATGAACATTTACGTATACTCATGTTCTAGCTTTTCAACTTTGTGCAGAATATGTCATACATATGACATATTCAGCACAAAGTTGAAGTTTTATATTTATACATGGGTTTGTTTAATGCTTATTATCCCATAGCATGATATTGTTGTGCTATGTTGGGATTGTTTTTATTGAAAGGTTTTATTCAAAGGTGTTTGTACACTTATAACCAAGCTCAAGCTTTACCATGATATTAAAGTTCTGAGCTTCATGTGCTGTATAATATCATAACAAATATAACAAATCATATTATTGAAAACATGTTATAGTAATTGCATTTAGAATTGCATTTGCAGATTTCAACTCATGAACAAAGGAAATGAAATGCATCTAAGCCTCATGAATTAGGTGATAAAAGTAAGAATGTCATATTATTTATTGTAGATTCTAAAATTAGTTGATTAAACCATAGGTTTAGAACTGAGATTCCTGGATATACAAGTACATTTACATTGACTAGGATTGGAATTTAGTCATATGAGCTATGTTGTGTCATGACCTTCTGATATCATGTAATGATGGATGGGATGAAGAATGTTATGTTTGAAGTTTTGCCTTGAGAAAGCTTTAATGATAATTAATGTGCAGTAAATATTTAAAACAGTTTGCACTAAACATTTTCATGAGATATGTATGACCCAGCGTTTTTTGTATGTTGAACTGTTTTAAAAGTATGTATCTAGGAATTTGAGAACAAAGTTCGGTACCTAGGAACTATTTTTGAGAAGATAATTTTTCATTTTTATGGTAAAAGTTTTCACGACTTAAGAGGAATAGTTTTTATCAACATCCATTTATGACACACAACGTCATGTTTATGTAAACAAATGGGAAGATGTCATGATTGCTTTATGATTATGTGATTCCTAGAAAAGGCACTTTGTCATGAAATTGACCAAAGATAAGCTTAAATGGATAATTTTAATGGTTATTAATATACAGCTATTACTAGGTCAAGGTCAAGAAAGATTTTATTTGTACAGGTGACAATTGCCATGAATGTAATTTACATAGACAGATGGTAATAACATTTTTTTTGGTCGGGTTGACTTTGTAAGTTTATTTCAGTCAGGTATGTGGAATGTGATTTATTGTAATTGCCTATAATACTCTCGATTTGTGAAGAAAATTCATTTGAGTAATTTGTTCTTAAAAATTGGGAGGCTAATTGTCATATGAGAAATTGAGAATTATTTCATTACTATGTTACCCTGACGGAAGTGAGATTTTCTTTTCGAATTCGAAATGCATATACACCATAACAAAGGTGA